ATCATGGGAAAGACTGCTGACCTGACAGTTGTGCAGAAAACCATCATTGACACCCTCCATAAGGAGGGAAAGCCTCAAAAGGTAATTGCAAGTTGGATGTTCCCAAAGTGCTGTATAAAAGCACATTAATAGAAAGTTATGTGGAAGGGAAAAGTGTGGAAGAAAAAGGTGCACAAGCAGCAGGGATGACCGCAGCCTGGAGAGGATTGTCAGGAAAAGGCCATTCAAAAGTGTTAAAGTGTTGGGGACTTTCACAAGGAGTGGACTGAGGCTGGGAGTCAGTGCATCAAGAGCCACCACACACAGACGGATCCTGGAAATGGGCTTCAAATGTCGTATTCCTCTTGTCAAGCAGCTCCTGAACAACAAACAATGTCAGAAGCGTCTTACCTGGGCTAAAGAAAAACAGACCTGGTCTGTTGCTCAGTGGTCCAAAGTCCTCTTTTTCTGATGACAGCAACTTTTGCATCTCATTTGGAAACCAAGGACCCCGAGTATGGAAGAAGAATGGAGAGGCACACACTGCAAGATGCTTGAAGTCCAGTGTGAAGTTTCCACAGTCTGTGTTGATTTGGGGAGCCATGTCATCTGCTGGTGTTGGTCCATTGTGCTTCATTAAGTCCAGGGTCAACACAGCCGTCTACCAGGAGATTTTGGAGCACTTCATGCTTCGTTCCGCAGACGAGCTTTATGGGGATGCTGACTTCATTTTCCAGCAGGACTTGGCACCGCCCACACTGCCAAAAGCACCAAAACCTGGTTCAATGACCATGGGATTACTGTGCTTTATTGGCCAGCAAAATAACCTGACTTGAACCCCATAGAGAATCTATGGGGCATTGCCAAGAGAAAGATGAGAAACATGAGACCAAACAATGCAGAAGAGCTGAAGGCCGCTATTGAAGCATCCTGGTCTTCCATAACACCTCAGCAGTGCCACAGGCTGATAGCTTCCATGCCACGCCGCATTGAGGCAGCAATTGCTGAAAAAGGGGCCCAAACCAAGTACTGAGTACATATGCATGCTTCTACTTTTCAGAGGTCCGATATTGTTCTATGTACAATCCTTGTTTTATTGATTGCATGTAATATTCTCATTTTCTGAGATTGTGGATTTGGGGTTTTCATGAGCTGTAAGCCATAATCATCACAATTATGACAAATCACGGCTTGAACTATCTTGCTTTGCATGTAATGAGTCTATCTCATACAGTCATGGCCGAAATTGTTGGCACCCTTGATATTTCTCCAGGAAATCATGTATTTCTCACGAAACGTATTGCATTAACACATGTTTTGCTATACACATGTTTATTCCCTTTGTGTGTATTGGGACAAAACAAAAAAAGGGAGGAAAGAAAGCAAATTCGACATAATGTCACACAAACCTCCAAAAATGGGCTGGACAAAAGTATTGGCACCCTTTCACAACTGCGGATAAATAAGAATGTTACAAGCATGTGATGCTCCTGTAAACTCACCTGGGGCAAGTAACAGGTGTGGGCAATATAGAAATCACACCTGAAAGCAGATAAAAAGGAGAGACGTTCACTTAACCTTTGCATTGTGTGTCTGTCTGTGCCACACTAAGCATGGACAACAGAAAGAGGAGACGAGAACTGTCTGAGGACCTGAGAACCAAAATTGTGGCAAAAATATCAACAATCTCAAGGTTACAAGTCCATCTCCAGAGAACTAGATTTGCCTTTGTCCACAGTGCGCAACATTATCAAGAAGTTTGCAACCCATGGCACTGTAGCTAATCTCCCTGGTCGTGGACGGATGAGGAAAATTGATGAAAGATTGCAACGCAGAATAGTCCGGATGGTGGATAAGCAGCCCCAAACATGTTCCAAAGACATTCAAGCTGTCCTGCAGGCTCAGGGAGCATCAGTGTCAGCGCGAACTATCCGTCGACATTTAAATGAAATGAAACGCTATGGCAGGAGACCCAGGAGGACCCCACTGCTGACACAGAGACATAAAAAAGCAAGACTACAGTTTGCCAAAATGTACTTGAGTAAGCCAAAAGCCTTCTGGGAAAACGTCTTGTGGACAGATGAGACCAAGATAGAGCTTTTCGGTAAAGCACATCATTCTACTGTTTACCGAAAACGGAATGAGGCCTACAAAGAACAAAACACAGTACCTACGGTAAAATATGGTGGAGGTTCAATGATGTTTTGGGGTTGTTTTGCTGCCTCTGGCACTGGGTGCCTTGACTGTGTGCAAGGCATCATGAAATCTGAGGATTACCAAAGGATTTTGGGTCGCACTGTAGGGCCCAGTGTCAGAAAGCTGGGTTTGCGTCCAAGATCCTGGGTCTTCCAGCAGGACAATGACCCCAAACATACGTCAAAAAGCACTCAGAAATGGATGGCAAAGAAGCGCTGGAGAGTTCTGAAGTGGCCAGCAATGAGCCCAGATCTAAATCCCATTGAACACCTGTGGAGAGATCTTAAAATTGCTGTTGGGAAAAGGTGTCCTTCCAATAAGAGAGACCTGGAGCTGTTTGCAAAGGAAGAGTGGTCCAAAATTCCGGGTGAGAGGTGTCAGAAGCTTATTGATGGTTATAGGAAGCGACTGATTTCAGTTATGTTTTCCAAAGGGTGTGCAACCAAATATTAAGTTAAGGGTGCCAATACTTTTGTCCAGCCCATTTTTGGGGGTTTTGTGTGACATTATGTCATATTTGCTTTTCTGCCTCTGTTTTATATTTGTTCCAATACATACAAAGGGAATAAACATGTGTATAGCAAAACATGTGTTAATGCAATACCTTTTTTGTGTGAAATACTTGATTTTCAGGAAAAATATCAAGGGTGCCAACAATTTCGGCCATGACTGTATATTAGTTTCACCTTTTAAGTTGCATTACTGAAATAAATGAACTTTTGCACGATATTCTAATTTTTCGAGTTTCACCTGTACTTTATGCCAGCAGAGGATTTTCAGGTGCCAAACACATGAAAGCCAAAACATAAAAAAGACAAAGAGCAGCGTTCTGCTATGCCACAAACCATCAGCAAAATTCCATCAAGACAGATATATTTCCAAGGCAATAATGAAGTCACAATGTAGGTTGTAGAGCATGCAGTAACAGAGACCTTTCATTCTCACGGCACAGCAGTTCTCTGTGAACCCCAAAGGGCTTCACATTCCTACAGGCAACTGAAGAATCACAATTTTAAATACTGACAAGGAAGTCAATGTACAAAGTATTTCTATTTTTGAAGGAATTTAAGTTGTGGAGGAAGTAATGTACAGAACTACAATTTCCCAGTCTGAGTACAACATGTGAGTACAACATGTTCCTGTTCATATATGTTATGTAAGATTACAATAGATAAGGCTGACACTGAGTCATATCTGTTTACAGTGTTGTAGCAGTTCTGTGGTTGTACACTGGTATGAAATAATATGTATATAGAAGCATTGGGTTACACCCAAAAAATCATTGGGATGGCAATAAAAATTATACTAACAACTGCATTAGACCATATTTTTGTCAAAGCTTTCCAAACAAACATCAACAGATGGAAATCAACAGTCAACAGAAGGTATTCAATGGGCAACCAACCACCAACCTTTACCAAAAAACCGCAAAGGCAAACCAATCACCGAACAACTGTTAACAGAAGTCAGCCAACCACCAACGGAGAGCAAATAATTGTCAATCAACCATCAACAGAGGCCAGCTAACTGCCAACAGAGGGCAACCAACCACCAACAGTTAGTCAACAGACAGCAACAAGTTACGAACCAACCATCAAAAAAGGGCAGCCGAAAAAGGGCAACCAACCACCAACTATTACCCAAGGTTCACATCTGTGCGGGTGGTGCCGCTGCGGATCCGCACAAAAATCCATGCAGCCGCACCACCAGCACAGAGAACTGTGAACCCGCGGGCGGCTGCCGCCCGCACCGGAATACGCAACCGTACTGGGAACTGAGGTTCCCGCGTGGGCTGCGTTTTCAGAAGAAGTGCAGGGACTTCTTCCCTGCGTGTCACGCGGCACGGGAGTCCATTCAAATGAATGGGCTCTCATGCCCATGCAAAACGCGGCCCGCACGGCCGCATAGATGTGCATCGGGGGTTAACCAACAGTCAACCAATCACTAACCAACTGTTAACAGGAGGCCAGCCAACTACCAACAGTCAGCAGAAGGAAACAAATCACCCATCAACCTTCAGCAGAGGCCAGCCAACAGAGGGCAACTGATCATCAACTGTCAACAGAGGCCACCTAACTGCCAGCAGAGGGCAACCAACTGTCAGTCAACAGAGAGCAACCAATAATTAACCAACCATCAAAAGAGGGCAGCTAAAAGAGGGCAACCAACCACCAACTAACTGCCTTGACTATTGAAACTCCCTCCTCATAGGCCTACCTCTCCCGTAGGCCATCCCCTCTTCAGGCTATCATGAATGCTGCTGCCAGAATCATCTACCTTACAAACCACTCTGTGTCTGTCACTCCTCTCTGCCAATCCCTCCACTGGCTTCTGATTGCCCAGCAAATTAAATTCAAAATACTAGATTGTAAACTCGAAAGAGCAGGGCCCTCGATCCCCTCGTGTATTGTATTGTTACTGTCTTGTCTCATGTTCTGTCCCCCTTGCTACTGTACAGCGCTGTATAATAATAATAATAAAATACCAACAACAACAACATACAAAGCCATTCAGAACTCTGCCCTGAGCTACATCACCAATCCTGTCTTCGAATATCACCCAAACAGTCCTCTCCACTCCTCTCATGACCTCCTGCTCTAAAGCTCCTTCATCTCTTCCTCCCATGCTAGTCTCCAGGACTTCTCTAGAGCCTCTCCAATCCTCTGGAGGTCTCTACCTCAATCTGTCCGGCTATCCCCTACTCTGGCTACCTTTAGGCAATTCCTAAAAATTAATCTCTTCAGGGAAGCCTATAACACCTCCAACTAACCTTTTATCACTTCCATCAGCTCATAGGGATTAGGGGACATGTTTGTATTGCTTACCTGCAGTTGGTGGATTTTAGCTTCGTTATTTCGGAGCATCTCTTTGTGTCTCTCGATCTCCACTTCAAAGTTACACATCTGTTTGTGGAGTATCTGAATACTTTTGTTCTTTTCTGAACTTTCATTCTGTAACATGGACACCTATGGAAAGGAAAACACATGACAAGGCCGAGTGAATAAGGAGCTCCGTTTTCTCTCCAGTAACTCATAAAGTTACCAAACAGAATTTCTGAGGGTGGCTGATATCTGTAATAACAATAGAAACATATCATACTGTTTACTTCAAGCAGATTTGTAGCCAGGAAAAAAAATGTGAAACTAAGAAAGTAAAAGCAAGTTCCCTTTGGTTCCCTAACTTACTTAGAAGGTTAGTCCATCTGAAACTCATGTTTCAGTGTTTGGTAGATGTCGGAGTGCTACAATCTCAGATCTGCACACATTCTGTGCCATTTAGGATGGGTTCCCACAATTCCTGCTGTATTGTTTGTTCATTTTATACTATGCAGAATGTAACTGGAAGAACGGGAACATCCAACAGGAACAGTGCTAAGAATTATGGCTCCTTTTTTGAAGTATTCAAGACATATAAGATACCAGCCAAAACACTGATCTGGAACTGAAGAGCTACACCACATTTGAGTCCGAAATTACATTTATTCCAAATATTGTTGAAGTAGAGAGACCAACGCGTTTCGACAACTAAAAAAAATCCCCTTTATCAAGGCTCAAGAAAAAAAATAACACCAACACTGCATGACTCAAAAAAGCATCTGGTTGTGTGGGAGTAGTGTGTTATTAACACAAGCCAATAGCCTTCAACGGTAGTTTAGGAACCATATAGATCATATAAGACACCAGGGGCTGACTCAGCCCACCCACCTATGACTATACTTAAAATATCACTTCATGGTGGACTGTTCCTTCCATCGTATGGATCTAGTACCAGAGACACAAGAAAAGCCGACTACATGTATACACACTCCCTGCCTACCACAGTTCAGTGCTGGGTGCCTAGGTAGCCAATTGCCAGGTCAAAGCACTGAGACCAGGGAGGCCTAAAACATTTTTGAGGTTCCCTAAAAGAGGAATAGCTCAGTTAAGTTTCATTTAAGCACCTAAGGGTTCCTGCTACACAGCCTAATGCAGGCCATAGATGGGTTGAAAATCAGCCGATTTTTCAGCCGAAAATAAAATTGACCGATTTTCTGATCGTTAGTGGGTTAATAGGTCGGCCGTTTTTCAGTATTCTGGCAAATTTTTTTTTATCGGTAAAGTTGGGAAAAAAATCGGTCGATTTTGCCGATCGGCCGAATTTCACGACAATGATGGGCAAATCGGCCGATCTTTTACCGATACAAAAAAATCTGCGCATGAGCAGTGACCTGCAAGAGGAAGACAAAAAGAAGAAGAAAAAAGAAGAAGAGGATGAAGAATAAGAAGAAGAGGAAGAGGGTGAAGAAGAAGAGGAAGAAGAAGAGGATGAAGAAGATGAAGAAGAGGATGAAGAAAATGAAGAAGATGAAGAAGAAGAGGATGAAGAAGGAGGATGAAGAAGAGAATGAAGAAGAAGAGGAAGAGGATGAAAAGGAGGATGAAAAGGAAGATGAAGAAGAAGAGGAAGAAGAGGATGAAGAAGAAGAAGAGGATGAAGAAGAAGAAGAGGAGGATGAAGAAGAAGAAGAGGATGAAGAAGAGGATGAAGAAGAAGAAGAAGAGGATGAAGAAGAGGAAGATGAAGAAGAGGATGAAGAGGAAGAAGAAGAAGAGGATGAAGAGGAAGAAGAAGAAGAGGATGAAGAGGAAGAAGAAGAAGAGGATGAAGAAGAGGAAGATGAAGAGGATGAAGAGGAAGAAGAAGAAGAGGATGAAGAAGAGGATGAAAAAGAAGAGGATGAAGAAGAAGAAAAGGATGAAGAAGAAGAAGAGGATGAAGAAGAAGAAGAGGATGAAGAAGAAGAAGAGGATGAAGAAGAAGAAGAAGAGAATGAAGAAAAAGATGAAGAAGAGGAGGAATTCCAGTCCAGCAAAAAGTGTCCCTGCAGAGAGCTCCGCTATTTCTTTGACAGTTCTTTGACATTTATAGCGGTTGCAACAATGTATCTATTTGTTTCCGAATAAAAACATCTGTATCCGAAATGGATACAAATCGATACATTGTTGCAACCGCTATAAATGTCAAAGAACTGTCAAAGAAATAGCGGAGCTCTCTGCAGGGACACTTTTTGCCGGCTGTAGACGCGATGAAAATCGGCCGATTTTTTTTACCGTTGCTGGTAGCGTCGGCCGCTTGAACGACTGATTTTTCATTTTTTTAAAGAAAAATCGGCCGATTTTCGACCCGTCTATGGCCTGCATAACATGACATCTTGGGGTTTTTTAATGATTAAAAGATAAGTGGCACAGTGGCTAAATGGTTAGCACTTCCACCTAGCAGTACTCGGGTCGTTGGTTCGAATCTCAACCATGACACCACCTGCCTGGAGTTTGCATGCTCTCCCTGTGCCTGCGTGGGTTTCCTTGGGGTACATGCTGGTAGGTTAATTGGCTCCTGTCTAAATTGGCCCTAGTATGTGTATGTATGAATGTGAGTTAGGGACCTTAGATTGTACGCCCCTTGAGGGTTAGGGACTGATGTGAATGTACAATATCTATGTAAAGTACTGCGTAAATTCACTCCTCCACCTGTAAGTAAATTCATATGAACCGCATAGTCCTGGGAAGTCATAAACCAATTTTTCACCGGGCTGACATTCTTTCTTATTGTTTAAATGATGACATACAGAGGACATGGAGCAGACACAAAGGTTGATGGCAGTTAGCCCCAAACATGCACCCAGTTTGACCTCAGGGTCTGGCACAATTCAGTTCCATTTCCCAATCCTAACCATGGAATAGAACCACCTAGTATATAAAAATCTGAGCTCAAAGAACTGAAAGGCCACACAGGAAGGCTGCCAAGACAGAATCAGTACTTCTCCAAAGGCTTTTTCTTTCCCCACCCCCAAACGTATGCCTATACTTTAAGGAAGCTGTTGCAAAGTATAAACCCATAAAGAAATACAAAACTTTCTCCTGCTGCCAACTTTTCCAATCCTGGGAAACTGCCCTCTCCTCACAGGGCAACCGACACCTCTGGAAGCTCGCTCGATCCCCCTGCTGACCTCAACTCCACCAACGTCTTCTGTATTGACATGGAGGTCAGCAGGAGGAATGAGTGAGAGCTGTGGGGGACCCAAGAGATGGAAACCCCCAGAAATGTCAATGGTCTTTGGCGGCAGTTTCTCAGGATCAGTGCCGCATTCAGCGTCATGGACAGGTTAGGATTCCGTACATTGACACTTTTTCATCATCATGTGACAGGGTATCACTTTATGTGACACAAGAGAATTGATGATAGCATAAGCAGGTTAAAACTTTCAAATTAAAGCTTAACCTTTAAAAAAAAAAAAAAAATAGGGCTTAGTCCACCTTTCGCAAAAAGCTGTAAATTAAGCAACAATGATCTAATGGTCAATGGACATTTACTATTGTTTTTTACAATGAAGCCTGCAGAGAATTGCACCCACAGGTGCAATGCATAGACTCTTGTAATGCTATCCTCAGGCCTGTACGGAGGTAGGGACTTGCTGTTATTGAGCTGGAGGATGTGTAGCTGGACTACAGTGCGCTGTGACATCATGGCGCTGTGACATCATGGCGCTGCTGCATCCAGCCATTGTTCTTCAGCCTAGAAGCAGGGTTGTAATTTATCCACAACAGTGCACTCGGGTATAATTGACAGCCGCATCTAGAAGCCCCACTTTCCTCCAGACTGTGCCAGGCATTGGACTGGGAAGTCTCTTCAGGGCAGGAGAGTTGGAAGGTGAATTAGAGAGGGAGGCAGCGAACGCACGCAGGCACTGTGATGAGGGATCTCTAACATTAGTAAGTCTTCTGGTAGACAATACATTTCACCAGCAGTACACATACACCGGGTACAGAGACTGCTGGATAGTCTCCGTGCGTCAAATATAAATACAAAAGTGCACCTATCCTTAGAGTGTTACTAAACCCCAGACCCTGCATTCACTATATCTGGTCTCCCCGGACCCTGCATTCACTATATCCGGTCTCCCCGGACCCTGCATTCACTATATCCGGTCTCCCCGGACCCCGCATTCATTATATCCGGTCTCCCCGGACCCTGCATTCACTACATCCGGTCTCCCCGGACCCTGCATTCACTATATCCGGTCTCCTCGGACCCTGCATTCACTACATCCAGTCTCCCCGGACCCTGCATTCACTACATCCAGTCTCCCCGGACCCTGCATTCACTAAATCCAGTCTCCCCGGACCCTGCATTCACTACATCCAGTCTCCCCGGACCCTGCATTCACTACATCCAGTCTCCCCGGACCCTGCATTCACTACATCCAGTCTCCCCGGACCCTGCATTCACTACATCCAGTCCCCGGACCCCCGGACCCTGCATTCACTACATCCAGTCTCCCCGGACCCTGCATTCACTACATCCAGTCTCCCCGGACCCTGCATTCACTACATCCAGTCTCCCCGGACCCTGCATTCACTACATCCAGTCTCCCCGGACCCTGCATTCACTACATCCAGTCTCCCCGGACCCTGCATTCACTACATCCAGTCTCCCCGGACCCTGCATTCACTACATCCAGTCTCCCCGGACCCTGCATTCACTACATCCAGTCTCCCCGGACCCTGCATTCACTACATCCAGTCTCCCCGGACCCTGCATTCACTACATCCAGTCTCCCCGGACCCTGCATTCACTACATCCAGTCTCCCCGGACCCTGCATTCACTACATCCAGTCTCCCCGGACCCTGCATTCACTACATCCAGTCTCCCCGGACCCTGCATTCACTACATCCAGTCTCCCCGGACCCTGCATTCACTACATCCAGTCTCCCCGGACCCTGCATTCACTACATCCAGTCTCCCCGGACCCTGCATTCACTACATCCAGTCTCCCCGGACCCTGCATTCACTACATCCAGTCTCCCCGGACCCTGCATTCACTACATCCAGTCTCCCCGGACCCTGCATTCACTACATCCAGTCTCCCCGGACCCTGCATTCACTACATCCAGTCTCCCCGGACCCTGCATTCACTACATCCAGTCTCCCCGGACCCTGCATTCACTACATCCAGTCTCCCCGGACCCTGCATTCACTACATCCAGTCTCCCCGGACCCTGCATTCACTACATCCAGTCTCCCCGGACCCTGCATTCACTACATCCGGTCTCCCAGGGCCCTGCATTCACTATATCCGGTCTCCCAGGACCCTGCATTCACTACATCCGGTCTCCCCGGACCCTGCATTCACTACATCCGGTCTCCCCGGACCCTGCATTCACTACATCCAGTCTCCCCCGGACCCTGCATTCACTACATCCGGTTTCCCAGGACCCTGCATTCACTACATCCGGTCTCCCCAGACCCTGCATTCCCTATATCCGGTCTCCCCGGACCCTGCATTCACTATATCTGGTCTCCCTGGACCCTGCATTCACTATATCTGCAAGTACAAGAACATGGAAATGCAATTATTTTAGTAAATATAAACTGCTAAATACCTTTTCTCATCAGATGTTAGAGCAGTCTTGTGGCTTCTATCAGTGTCCAGCCAAGAACTAGCTAAAGCTTGTAGGAGGAGTTTTCTTTCTGCTCTAGGAGGATGCAGAACCCCTGACCTCTGTCTGACCAGTGCTGATTGGCCCTGTGCTGATCACATGCACTCTCCCAAGGAAAAAAAAAAAAAAACCTCTCTAGCAATACACACCAAACTGAGCATGTGCAGAGTGGCTACAGTTCAATCGGTCTTATCAGAAGATAAGAGGTGGTCGCTTGAACAATGGGAGGAACAGAGCAATCAGGATCAAATAGCCTTTTTACACAATGCAGAGGATTAACCCCTAGGGTTCCACAGTGAGTATAACATGCATGCTTTACTGCATATACAGACTGATTTTACTGTTGTGGGTTTGGTAACACTTTACTTCACCCTCATCTGCTTCTGAGCTGTAGATACTGACCAAGGTTATTGCTGAAAGAATCTTAAGTGGGGTTTTTAGCTACCAATGGCAGATTAATGATATGATGGCCCCTCCACCAATGTATGGGGATAATGCACCATGGCGAGCGTACACAGGCATTTGTGTTTGACATAATGGCAGGGTCATTGTAAAATGTTGCTTTCAGGTACATGTATTATTCATAACCATTTGTCTATTTTAACGGAATCCTGAAATTTGCAAATCAAAGATTTAACCTACAACAGTTCCAAGATGCAGAACTTTTTTCCCATTCCCCTTGGAGTGTGCAGCCCAAGCAGCCACGCCCACATTGCCCTTATTATAATCCACCTCTGCAGCCTGCTGTATTCACGAGTGCCTGCAATGCTCCAGTAGGAAACATTCCTCCATCATGGCATCTCAGTAGATATACAACACTTCCACAGCAACGCTCCAAATGTAAAACAAAGCAGAGGATGCCTAGTACTTGACCTAAACCACTTCCAGTCCGGACACTTTAACCCCCTTCCAGTCCAGGCCAATTTTCAGCTTTCAGTGCTATCACACTTTGAATGACAATTGCGCGGTCATGCAACACTGTACCCATATGAATTTTTTGGCATTTTTTTGAGACAGATAAAGCTTTATTTTGGTGGTATTTATTCACCACTGGGATTTTTTTTTTTTTTCGCTATATAAATGAAAAAGTCCAAAAATTTTGAAAAAAAGTATTTTTCTTATACAATTTTGCAAATAAATAATATTTCATCATAAATCTTGGCCAAAATTTATTCCGTTATCTTTTTAGTAAAAAAAATAAAAAAAAAAACCCAAAATTAGTTTATAACCAAAAAATATAATTTTTAAAAAAATTTTTTTACATTTTTATATAGTTTTTTTTTTTTACATACTGTCACCCTAGCAGTACAGAGTCACCATAGTGACACTGTACTACTTGTGGGGGGTGATGAAGATTTTTTTTTTTTTTTTTTTTACACTGATTGCTTTTACACTCATAAAGACTGTAAAAGCAATCGTTTCTCCTTCTCTCTGGCTGCATTCTTGCAGCCATTGAGAAATGCTGTGTGAGCTGTCATTGGTCACAGCTTGTCATATGGTACAAGGCTGTTGTGAATAGCCCTGTACCATGTGACCTCTATGATCATTCACAGATTTCACACGTAGTAAGCAATGATGTCAGGAAGTGACATCTTGCTTACTGCTCTGCATGTGATCACTAATTGGCCAATCAGTGATCACATGATCGGGACCCCGTACAGAGGTCCCGTCCGATGATCGGTGTTCCACTGTGTCCGGAGGACACAGCGGGCACCGGATCGCGGTGATGCGCACTCCTAGGGAGCGCGCACAGCTTGAAAGTGCGGTTGCCGATTATGAGCGGCAACCCGCCCCTGGACTGCCACCGTCCAGCCGTTTATAAACAGCGGCCGGATGGGAAGTAGTTAAGCTCTGTGTAGACTTCTGAAAAAAAGTCAGCGAGCCGACTGCAAGTACAGAAGAAGGAGATTCTTAGGAGGCCAATGGAGCACTATTTTTGGTGAAATATGATTTTTCTGTAGCTGTTGAAACTTCTAGCTGGTGCAAAGTGAAATGGCTACGGAGATATTTAATGACATTCAACCACATAACGGCAGAGGTTTCCTTTAACAAGTAATATCATGCTAATTTAGTCATTAAAGTCCTTTGTTGGGCCTTGTGGCTGTATAAATCACGTAAAGAATTAGCAGGGCAACCTTCCCAGCTCTGCATGGAAAGCCCCAGCGCTGTATAAACTTCCTGGTTAACGTGGGGTGGATGCCGAACCAAAGCGCCTCTAACCAAACATCTATCTGATCAAGATAAATACAACATTACAAAGAAGAAGAAAAAAAAAAGAAATTAAACAATCAAGCAAACAGATTCAGCAGCTGGAGGAAGAAGAACAACAACAAGCCCCCAGTTCCTTATTGATAGTCATCACAGGGCCCGGCTGTGGCTTGCTTGGCAAATCCTGGGATTTCCAGTGATTCATCATTAACGGGTAAAAGGAAGCAAAGAGTCGTAAGAATAAAGGGCGACCATGGGAAATAGTACATATGATAAATGGCAGCTATTTATCAAGACCATCACAGGAGTCACTTTATCTGCACCAGGAGGAAGCTGCTTGAATCCCACACAATGTAGCGTGATTGTATGTGTGTGATATATATATTTATCTGTGAAAAATGCTGTAAATTAAAAATGCTTTCGGAAATAGAATTGTTAATAGTTTAATTAACAAAACAAGTAAAAAAAAAAAAAAACCTGAATGAACATAATGGATAAGTATCTGCACTGAGGACACCATTGATCGGGCAACGTTGAGGATTGTAGATGCAATGGTTGGCCAAGGAAACAGCAAGAACATCATCACTTCTACATCAGAAGATGTCCAGCAGTGCCATCAGCACAGAACTGGTGGAAACCAGTGGGACTCAGGTACACCCATCTACTGTCTGGAGAAGTCTGGACAGAAGAGGTCTTCATGGAAGAATTTAGGCCAAATAGGAATACCTCTGATGTGGAAACAAGGTTAAAAGTCTCAACTATGCATACAAACATGAGAAGTGGGATGCAGAAAATGGCAGCAGGTGCTCTGGGCTGATGAGTCAAAATGTGAAATATTTGACTTTGTTAGCAAAGGGCTAGAGAGCGGTACAATAATGAGTATCCGCAGACAACTGTGAAGCATGGTGGAGGTTCATTGCAAGTTTGGGGCTGCATTTCTGCAAATGGAGTTGTAGATCTGGTCAGGATAAATTGTGTCCTCATTGCTGAGAAATACAGGCAGATACTTATGCATAAGGGAGGAGGGTAATTGACCCCAAATTTATTCTGCAGCAGGAAAACAACCCCAAACATACAGCCAACACCATTAAGAACTATAATCAGCATTAAAAAAAAAAAAAAAAAAAAAAAAAAGAGTCCTGGAAGTGATGGTTTGGCCTCAACAGAAGCCTGATCTTAACATCATGGAGTCTGTCTGGGATTACAAGAAGAGACATAAAGATTTGAGGCAGCCGACATCCACAGGAGATCTGTGGTTAGTTCTCCAAGATGTTTGGAACGATCTTCCTGCCGAGTGCCTTCAAAAAATGTGTGCAAGTGTACCTAGAAGAACTGAAGCTGGTTTAAAGCCAAAGGTGGTCACCAAATAATGATTTGATTTCTGTTCATCTACTTTTTTTTTACTCATTTTGTTAATTGACTAAAAAAACAAAAAAAAAAAAAAAAAAAAAAAAACTATTATCACTTCTATTTTTAAAAGCATTCTTAATATACAGCATTTTCTTTTTCACACTTGCCTAAAACTTTTGCACAGAGATATATATATATATATATATACACACACACACACACACAATATAATATACATTATACATAATTGTATATTATATTGCTTATCTATAACCTTACCTAATATAAAAATATAAATGTGGAATCCCTTCTGCTGGCCATCAATGATCCACTATGAAGCCTATCCATTCACTAGAGACCCGTGACATCACTGAGAATGCAACCTATCCATTCACTAGAGACCGGTGACATCACTGAGAATGCAGTCTATCCATTCACTAGAGACCGGTGACATCACTGAGAATGCAGCCTATCCATTCACTAGAGACCTGATGACATCACTGAGAATGCAGCCTATCCATTCACTAGAGACCTGATGGCATCACTGAGAATACAGCCTATCCATTCACTAGAGACCGGTGACATCACTGAGAATGCAGCCTATCCATTCACTAGAGACCAGTGACATCACTGAGAATGCAGCCAGTCTATTCCAACTAGAAGTATCTGCTTACCTTACTCTCCAGAAAACTGCTCCATTCTTTCATTAAGTTGACATGCTGAACAGCTGAACTGGCTTCATGTGCTTTAATTTGCTGGTTTGTTCCCTAGGAACATGAAAAGAAATAAGCAAAGACTGCAAGAAGGAACAGTTGACGTTATAAATATATATACTGTATATACATTCTATTGCCAAAAGTATTGGTCGGCCTGCCTTTACACGCACATCTTTACAACTTTAATGGCCCCCCAGACTTAGTCCGTAGGGTTCAACATTGAGTTGGCCCCGCCCTTTGCAGATATAACAGCTTCGTCAAGTTCCTCCACCCCAAACTCACTCATCCATGTCTCTATGGACCTTGCTTTGTGCACTGGTGTGCAGTCATGTCAGAACAGGAAGGGGCCATCCCCAAACTGTTCCCACAAAGTTGGGAGCATGAAATTGTCCAAATGTCTTGGTATGTCTTGGAAGCTCTCTATGCACTGTTGTGCTAATCTGAAGGCCACACCAAGTTTGGAGGTCTTTAGCTATTGACTCTGCAGACAGTTGGTGACTTCTGTGCACTGTGCACTTCATCATGCGCTGACCCCGCTCTGTCCTGTGACGTGGTCTACCACTTGGTGGCTGAGTTGCTGTTGTTCCCAGTTGCTTCCACTTTGTTATAATCCCACTAGCAGTTGAGCGTGGAATATTTAGTAGCCAGGAAATGTCACGGATGGACTTATTGCACAGGTGACCACCTATCACGGGACCACGCTTGGAGTCACTGAGCTCCTGAGAGCGACCCATTCTTTCACAAATGTTTGTAGAAGCAGTCTGCATGCCTAGGGGCTTGATTGTATACACCTGTGGCCATGGAGGGGATTGGAACACCTGAATCCAATGATTTGGAGGGCGGACCCAATACTTTTGGCAATATAGTGTAAATTATAATCTATATAAAAAATTCAATGACAAAAACACACAGCACTAAAGTATGGAAAATATATGCGAGCGCACACACAAAGAGTATAGCAGCTGTGCACCAGGTAACCATAAAAACCTCTAAATCAAATGTAAATCAAAAGTGCAGCGCTAGAAGAAAACACATTATGAATATAAATCATTAAGTGAACAGTTCATATGGTGACTTGAAGTGACTTCAGGTGCTTTCATGTAACTGTATCCTCCTGGTGGTAAGGTGCTGTGAGATAAAGTGCAGAAAGAATGCACACTCACCAGAACGCACAATTTAATGAGCGTTTATATATATATATTTCTCCTGATATCATCTGCCGGTCTGGGTGGTGTCTGGAATCCTGTAAATTCCCTTCAATGGTCCTGGATGCTATTAATAGGACATCAGGGTCGTCCAGAGTTCCCCTCAGGTGATAGCCTAGGGACTGCTCTATAGAGGTTGTGAAGGCTCCCTCTCCAGTGGTCAAGTGGATGGCAGCAATCCAATAAAATCAAACAGTCCAACCAAATGTTTTAGTTTCACAACATCCACAAATTTCACCAGCAGCCTTGCTATGACCACTCTGTATAGTGCAGCCCAGACTACCAGTTTTCTTCTAGCGCTGCACCTTTGATTTACACAGCACTAAAGTAAACTACATAGAAGTACACAATAGCAGCAGCACCCACTAAAAACAGTCAGACTGAAACAATAGACTGGAGAGAGTGTCTAATTATACTACAGAAGGAATTTACAAAATCCGTGATTACTAAATGTAAGAAAAATCCTAAACGTTAATGGGCACGCAGATCTTCCTTTTAGATTTATTTATGTATTTATTTTAAAGAAACACTCGGCCCGTTTTGTGTAAAATATACTGACCTTGAAACTGCAGCCATAACGTTTAAAACTGCATGTACTGGGGGCGTTCACACATTCTGCTAAGTGAGCGTTCATCTGCAAAAAAGAGAGAAAATTCAGAATACACATTGAAGATCCAGAATACAATTAACCAAAAACACGATATGAAAGTAATAAAAAAATAAAACCGCGCACGCACGCGCACACACACACACGCACGCACGCACACACACACACACACACGCACACGCACGCACACACACGCGCAGTTCATAAAGTCAGACTTCAACACAGACTCATGTAGAATAGACAGAGAGGCACAGTTTACAATTAGCGGGTGATCGCTGGACCGCTCACAAACACAAAGCACATCCTGAGGACGCACCTCACTTAATACTGTAGTTGTCAACTGCCAATCAAGGTTTTAACAGGACAGCAGAAGCGGGGGCTACACACATAGGCCTGCATTGTACAGACCATTCATAAAATGCATGCTGCAGTGCTGAACCTGTAGTTCACATAGCTACAAGGATCCCCCCCCCCCAATTTTTAAGCCCTCCATCAACAGATATAGCTCTGTGATTTGTTTTCCTATATTCCCATTCATTTTAATGGTGGCTGGCTGCCTTCCGATTCCCTTAGGGCTCATGTACACTGCAGTTGATGAACGTCAGGAGATTTTCTGCATTTTTCTCAGCAGCCCCTGAACTCTCTCTAATGTTTTCCTATGTGTCCATGTACACATCGGCGTTTACAGGCAGTTGAGTTTACAGTCGGTTTTTTTTTTTTACGCACCAAACTTGCATTCAGGAGTAGATTTTATCAGCGTTTCAAACGCTTGTAAACGCGGCTAACCGCTTTTATAAGAGTTTGCGTTTAGAAGCGGTTTTTAACTGTTCCATATCCAGATGCTGTCCAGAGCCTTTTCATCATCAGAAATGCATACAAAGCTTTTCCATGTATTCAAATGGACCCGGTACACCAGCGCAGTCAGTTCCAAGTTTTGCATGAAGAAAAAAATGGTAGAACGTGCCGCATTATGCTCATGATGGGATCCATAGTGAATACAACCAGAAAAGATAGGTAATCTCAACCAGGGGCAGACTGACAACTCCTGGGGCCCACGGGCAATAGGGGATCATGGGGCCCCTGTGTCGTTGCCCAAACTCAAAAAAGCCTATGAAAAAGGTACCAGGGGTATCTCATGGGGCCCCCTACTGACCCCGGGCCCTCGGGCAGTGCCCGAGTTTCCAAATGGTCAGTCCGCCCCTGATTTCAACACATACTGCTCTCTCTGCTTCTGCTCTCTCTATGTCTGTCAAAATGTCTGAAATAATTTTTTTACTGTTTTTTTCAGTGCATTCTGGAAATTTTGGATGGTCTCCTGATGTTATCTTTAAAAAACGCTTCTAAATGCAAACACACATAAACGCGGTATGCAAACGCGGCTAAACAGACTTTTTTTAACCTACGTTTTCCAGCAGTCAGTCAGTTTCCATTGTTCAGAAGTGTTTTCCAAACGTCCCGTGTACATGAGCCCTTAAACCAGCCGAGTGCACTGAACAAGCGTGTGTCAATGGGCTTCGAAAGGCTCATGTCAAAGACGACATAGAATAGCAATTCATAAAACTGGCTACAAAACAGTCTTGTTCGATGGGAGTACCTGCATTTCTGCTAGTGGGACCTGGTTTTTGCAGTACTGACATGGCATCTCGCGGTATTTGCATTTCTTCTCTATGTGTTCGCTCAGGTCCTTGCGGAAAACCTTCTCCTTGCAGTCCGCTCGGGGGCATGGAAGTTCTTCAAACTGGCAGTCGCTTTTTAAGTGGATCTAACAAAAGAAAGGGAGAGAGTTTGTTCCTGAGCCCCCAATCACAATGATGTAGGCATTGCACATACGCAAAGGGAAGTCTATTCATTTCATTGGTCTGTCCTGCATGCGACAAACATGGCAAAGAAGCTTATGCAACTTTTTGGGCTATGTGCTTTTTTCCATGATTGTTGTGAGTTTTTGAGTGCAGAAAAATGTGCTTTTTTGTTTGGCGCCGCAAGCACGATACAGTTTTTGCGTGTTCACATGCTACACTAGTGTCAATGTGGGATTACCGTTTTTCCAGGTCACAGCATTCAACGCAGGAAGCCAGGCAGATCTAAAGACACGGGTACTTACCTCTGATTGAATTGTCCAACACCTGCTAAGACCCTCGCCAGCACCAGCATCTCCCCCGGCTTCTTCCAGGTTCCAGTTTTCAGCCATCTTGTTTGGCTAGCACAGGATGACGTCACTCCCATGCATGCGCAGGAGTGCAGCCATTCTGGCACACAGCGAGTGTTGAAATGTAAACGGAGTTCTGCATGCGAACAGGCAGGTAAATACAGGAGGATTGCAAAGAGGCAGGTGAGTGTGAAGCATACTGGCGCCGCTCTGAAGTCAGATAAGCAACGTAGATCACCCCTTCGGCATGGGAATGAAGGGAGCACAGTCCTGAATCTGTTCCAGTGCCTAGGACAGGGTTAGGCAACCTGAGAGCCGCAGGACTACAAGTTCCATCATGCCTCTGCAAGTCATAGCTGTAACTGACAGTTTTGTAATCCTTGCAATGCCTCATGGGAAATGTAGTTCCACAACAGCTAGAGAGCCACAGGTTGCCTACCCCTGGTCTAGGATGAGAAGGGGGAGCGGACGCTGCTCAGGACCAGCCCCAGGAACCTAGCGTGTATGTGTATAGTGGCCTCAGCACTGCGCTAGCCATACTCTCAGACGCATTTCACCCCACCCATCGGGGCCTGGTCAGAGACGCCTTTTTGACCAAGCCCCGATGTGTGGGGCGAAACGCATCAAAGGGCTTGGCTAGTGCGGTGCTGAGGCCACTCTACACACACATGCTAGGTTCCTGGGGCTGGTCCTGAGCAGCGTCCGCTCCCCTTATCTAGTCCTAGGCAGGTGAGTGTATTTTATTGCAGAAGAGACAATGCAGTTTTTACTTTTTGCTTTTAGCTCTACTGTATTATAGCTTATACAGCTATAAAGCTCTCCAGCTTTGTGAGCGTCAACTATTTTCAGTTTCAGTTTTCTAGACAACTGCTTAGAAGAACCCATGGTGCTGATTGTTGGGGCAAGGTCAGATGAGTCTGGGCATTTAAAACCTTTGAGATTGACATCACCTGGTCTTCCCAGACGATGATTGAGAACAATCCAGGACACTGGCAGGTCTCAGCTTTGCAAAGGGGGCAGTGCATGCTATAAATTCTGCAGGGTGCCCAAACTTTTGCAGACGCCATTTTTTTTGTTTTCTGTTATTTTGAAAGTGTAAATGATGGAAATAAAATCTAACTTTTGTTGACATATTATAAGAATGTCTAATCTGTAATTTGATGCCTTTTGGAGATTTTTCCATCTTTCCTTGGCTTCTTTATGCACATTAATACAAATTGTTAGCTGGGGTGCCCAAACTTTCGATCCCCACTGTACATGTACCACTGCAGAAGGAAACTGGCCATGAAAAAAAAAAAAAAAAAACACATTGCAGATTACCAGTCCTCAGATGTGGTGGCTGTATTCGTTTTCATGCTTTCATTTCCTTTATTTTTACCTGGTGATCCTGCCAGGAACACACTTCCTGTCCTGGGTGACAACACTTACATCACTGTAGTCTATGGATGGGACAGTGTTGTCAGCCTAGGCTGTTTTGGACTACAAAACCCCTACAGATAACTGGGAACAATGTAATTGAGAAGACTGCAGCAGAGCCTGAGAGCATACACCATAGCGCTGTGGGAGGGATTCCCCCATCAACACTTGGTTGATGGAGGGGGGGAAATCAATCATCAAATTTCTTTCCTGCAACCAGAGGTTGAAAACTACTTAACATATAGTCTGCCTTACTGTTCATGTACCATGAGCTATACATAAAGTAGTTAATTACAAAGGGTTCCCCGAGACCAGAAAGTTATTTCAAAGGTTCCTCAATGTTAAAATGCTAGGTCTAAGTCTTGGAAGAAAAAACATTTTTCATTACAATTATTTTCTTTAAACCAGAAGTTTTTGGAGGTTTATTTAGGTTTTTTTTTTTTTACCAAAGTTAGAAAAATCTAGTTGACCGTTTCACCTGGTGAAGATTTGCAGCGGTCAACAGTTCCTGTGCATGTCGGCGTACACAACAATGCCTCTGACTGCCTTCACTGCCCCACTAACTAAACAGGCCCCCCAGTATCGGCAAAGATAAAGAAGTGAGATATTTTATTTTTATACCTCAGATGTCAAACGTTACTTCTACTGAACTGTGAAATACTTTCACACAATCAATTCCTTTTGATGATTTCCCTACAGATATAATGCCGTTGGCGTTTCTCATGATCTCCAATAAAGGATTCCGGTACAGAGACGGGCTTCTGTATAACCTTCCATGTGCCCTATACATTGAGAACTACCATCCTCTGCTACCTTAAAGGACCAGTCCACCTAACACCGATTTTTCAGCTTTTTACAGATGCCCAAGCAGTATACCAAATGGTTTCTTCTGTATCTCAAGCAGGGATGAGCTTGGATTTGGCTCTGGGTTCGGCCCCAAACCACGTTCAGCCGAACCTGGAGGTCTCAGCTGTCCGTGCCGGGCCAATGAGCTGTGGGTGGGGGTGGAGTGGAGAAGCTCGTGACATCACTGACCCAAGATGACCACTTGAGGTCAATGTCCATGACCTATAATGGCCAAATTAGGTCAATGATGTCACAAGCATCTGCGCCTCTTTGTCTATTTGCAGCTGTGGGGCGGGGAATGCCCACTATTCCTCCCACTGACATCAATGAGACACTATTCCTCCCACTGACACCAATAATGGGAGCTAGTCCTTCCACTGACATCAACAACGAGACACTATTCCTCCCACTGACACCAATGGTGGGCACTAGTCCTGCCACTGACACCAATTATGGGCACTAGTCCTCCCACTGACACCAATCATGGGCACTAGTCCTCCCACTGACACCAATCATGGGCACTAGTCCTCCCACCGACATCAACAACGAGACACTATTCCTCCCACTAACACCAATGATGGGCACTAGTCCTCCCACTGACACCAATGATGGGCACTAGTCCTCCCACTGACACCAATGATGGGCACTAGTCCTCCCACTGACACCAATAATGGGCACTAGTCCTCCCACTGACACCAATGATGGGCACTAGTCCTCCCACTGACACCAACAACGAGACACTAGTCCTCCCATTGACACCAATGATGGGCACTAGTCCTCCCACTGAAACCAATGTTGGGCACTAGTCCTCCCACTGACATCAACAACGAGACACTAGTCCTCCCACTGACACCAATGATGGGCACTAGTCCTCCCACTGAAACCAATAATGGGCACTAGTCCTCCCAGTGACACAAGTATGGGGCTCTATTCCTCCTTATACTAATGACAGGCACTATATAGTTTGTTTTACCCCCACTGACCACCAAGCTTTAGGCCCCATTTGCTTCACTGACGCCAGTACATTTTCTACCTCCATTGGTCACAGTCTGGCCCCCTCTAAGGCCTATAGGACAGTAAACCGGCCCTCTCTTTAGAAAGTTTGGAGACCCCTGGTTTAAGGTGACAGCTTTGGTCTCTTGAGGAGTGCTGGAAGCCAGCTGAGATAAAGTGGTTGTAAAGCCTAAACATTTTTTACTTTCATGAATTCTCTGCATTAAAATAAAAAATGTTTAGGTAAAAGTATCAGCCCCTCATCCTGCCAAGTACTTACCCGAGTCCTCACCCGATCCAGCACTGCGCCCGTCCATAGCGGCTCTCCCCTCTCACTTCCTGGTCTCACAGGCTTTGCTGTGGTAGTAGGACCTCGAGATAGCTGATATTTCATTCTGCAATACCAAAACTAGCTATGATGGAAGGGCGTCTCTGGGAAATCACATCGTAGAAGACAAATTAGGAAGAGTGGCCTTTCTTCTGAAAATTGTCACTTCTGTTTTTAAACATGAACGGAGAACAAAGATTTACTGTAAATAAAAGCAAAGCGTTCCCAAGAAGGGATCCATCACTTCGAGGGATATCTTCAGGAGGCCAAACATCTGCCAATCTGACCGAGAGACTCTCTAAACATGCTTACTGCCTGCAGTTTCAATCTGCAGCGGATGTCAATGTTAACGACACCCCAAATGCAGAAGCGTGCACCAAATCGCATGGTACAGTAGCAGCATGCAATCCAGTTGTTGTGTATCTTTTAAAGTAGTGCATGTGCCACCTCTGGTAAGGTCCAGTGTGATTCAGATCATTCAAATCGCACCGCATGTGAAATGCACAGGAATGCACAGCATGTTACTGTGTGATTCCTGGTGCAAATCGACGCTCATGCATGTCAATGTCATCCGGTCTCCAGTTGGAGGTGGAGAGCAGAGTCCTACATTGTGTGCGTATGCTCTGTTTTTTTGTGTTTTGTACAGTGTCTGGTTTTTTGTTTTTTTCAGTACGGGGAGATCAAGGCATGGATGTGGCCCCAAACCACCTGCTCTGTGAAAGTGATTGGCGGCTTCAGAACCACTGCTTCACTTTCACTTCGAAGCCAGGAGCCGGCTGAAGAGGCAGAGAACAAGCTGGTGGCTGTTATGTGCCATCAGCATGTGAGTAATGGTTCACTCACCTAGGGCTGTAAAAGGGCCCCGAGTCTAGGAGGCCACCAGAACCAGTAAACTTAGAGCATCTCTCCTTTTGTGCCTACAGGAGGACACAGGTTAAAACTCCAATGTTCAGTGCTGGTGGTGGGTTCATACGGTAATGATCAAGCAACTGGACTGTACAGCAAGCAC